AACAAACACGTAGACTAATCCACATGAAAATAAAAGAACACGAAGGAGTCCCTGGGGATGATTGGCAGAGACTGTAAAGGAAATCAGTTCTGAATATCTTTATCATGTTAACAAGGACAGAGGCGTTCGTAGAATTACCAGGAGTATAAGAGAAAATAAACAAACCTGAAAAAGGGGGCGTTCAAGTATTACGTAACGCAATTTGGGGGAGGGGGGTCTCGTAAAACGTTACGATGCGTTACAGAGGCGGGAGGGGGTCTTTCCTACAACACGTTACGTAACATTGTTTCTTCTTTTTAATAAAAAATGAGGGAAGTAAAACTACGAAGTTGGCAACCCTATTCGTTTAGGTTTTACGGGAAATCCCTCGGTTGTATTGTACGTCATTTCGTTGTCAGTATTCGTGAGTGTTTACGCAGAAGCACATCGCTGTAGTTGGTGTTATTAAAGTGAGTTCATAGTGTTCATACTGTAGTGTCCACAAAAGAGGGAGATTTGTATCATCAGCTGTTCTTGACCTATAAAGACTCTCATGCTGACTTGGCAGCGCAACTGTTTCAAAAAAATGCCAACGGAAAACGGCTTAAGAAAAACTAAAAAATAAAGAAAAGTTTGTAGAACATATAAATGATGCTATACGACTTGCGCAACATAACTTTTGCTACTTTTGGGTAAAAATGGTCACTTGAGTGTTACGTAACGTTTAGGGAGGGGGGGGGGGGGGGGTACAGAAAAACGTTACGGCGCGTTACAAGGGGGAGGGTCAAAAATCTTCAAAAATTGAACAGTCCCTAAGTCAAGAGTCGAAAGTAACAGACTAATAACCATGTAATATAAAAATGTCAAACAGGGCAATAATCATTCAGGTTCATAGCTTCTGAAGAGGACAGAGAGATATGACTCGAAACGTCAATTACTTTAAATCGACAACGTCGCAAATTTCTTGATCGTAATCGGCTCTTAATCTTATATAATTTGCGAAAAAAATGCCAAGACATTATGCAAAACTGAGATAAATGCTATAAATAAGAAAAGTTAAAATGATATAGTTCTTATTTGTTTTAATTGTTTCTGCAACATCAAGTATCTATGTCAAATGAACGACGTGCATATAACAAACAAATTCGCATAATAAAAGTCAAGTCAAATAAACAAGCCCCGATCGTAGCGTTACTTGACGCAATGCATCGACATTATTCAATTATCTAATACTTATCCTTAATGCGTTTATGTACATTTACTTATAGAAACCTAATATCAATGGAGGGTCAGGTCAATTATTCAACGATTTAATGTTTGATAAGGTGTATAGATTAGTAGTATTTCCAAAAAAACTATAAGAGGAATTAGATACTTTTCGAAGTCACTTATAAAATGCTTGCTTACACATACAGTTACATACAGTTTCTGTAATTTTATTGCGTCTTATTAATTTAGCTCGTGTGCAAAAAATTAATAAATTATATTGATGAAATTTGTTATACTTCGAAATGAAAAAAGGAAACCTTCATGTTATTTTGTTGTTCATTCATGTCTGTCAAAACTCTTTTTCCTAGGGGATATCGAAATACATTAATATCAAAAATACTAATATCTGATAGAAAACCATCTCAAATTATAGGAAGAAATTCGATCTTCATTAATTTCTGATTCATGTGGGATTATCACATGACAAATTTAATTTCGAGGTTTCTATTATATAGAGTTATAATGAAAATTGTTCTTCGAACGTTGTTCAATTTATGATTCCCAGTAACGTCACAAACTGCTTATAGCTAATTCTGAAGCAAAATCAACAATCTAAAACCACCTAAAGAGTTAAAATGTCGACAGGAAAAGTAACCAAATAATTCAAAAACTATCAAAATAGTGTTTGATTTTTGAGCTTGATGGTCGTGGTCTAGGATTGACTCTCTTCCTTCGATGAAGTTGTTTATCCGACGATTCGCCAACAGATGGGATTAGCATTCACAGGGAACGTAGCGACGACATAAAGTCTTCCGCTTCGGTTTTACTAAGACACCCTCGTTATGTACCCTGAACATGCCAATCACAGCTACTGGCGAAACGTCGAATGTCTTATCGAAAGAGTAGAAACAAGCCTAGACGACAACCATCGACCCCTAATATCTATATGTACATTATGATAAAGTGGGTCGAGAAAGCTTTAGAATTTCTATGAATTCGAAAACTAATTTCCTAAGAAAAAAAATATCCTTGAAGAGGAATATATTTACAATAAAAAAGTCTCGAAACCTGTAACTCTATCTCTATTATCAATAATTTTTATTCAATGTTGAAAATAACGTGTCCTATTCCCAATCCTATTATCAGTTTTTTTTTAGTTTGTCCATGCTATGTATCATTGAACTGTTGATATTATCAGTTTAATTGATAATTGAACGAGAATTTTCTGCTTGTTGTAAAATATTCCAATACCAGAAAACTTTGTTAAGTTGAATCGTTACATTGTGCGAAATTTAATACGGTTTTACACCAAGCCTGTTGAGAGATTATGTTACATTAAAACAAAAGCTGTAATATTGTTATGGATTATATTGCAAAGGGGACTCTGAAATAGATATCATTTAGGTATGAGTGCTTTTGGAACTGTTTTGGCTGTAGTCTCTCGAATATTTTCATATATAAGAGTACTTTTAGAATGAGCTTTGGGCGAGTATTTATACTTCCAAAGCCAGTTTAGATTCAAATATAATAAGAAATAAGATTAACGTGGGTTACGTACATTATCAACTGCAAAGTTCCTACCAACTATTTTACCCAATATTTAATTGATTAATTATTAATTTTTGAAATAAAGAGAATTACCAAAATTTAGACTGTAATAAACAATATAAACCTACCTGCGTTTATTTAACAAAAAAAGGTATGACTCAATTTGGAAATTAATTATAATGTAAAATATATACTTAATTTTGCAATGGAAATAGTCAGCCAGCACTTCTTGGATGAAAATTCATATTCAATTTTCCATCCATTACAAACTACCTCAGGTTAATGAGGGACTTTTTTTGTTGCTGATGTCTCACCCCCGCCGGGAATCGAACCCGAAACCTTTGGCTTTACGCACCAATGCTCTGACCACTAAGCTAAGAGAGATGACATAACCTGAGGTAGTTTGTAGTAGATGGAATTACATTAGTAAAAAATCGACAGAGTAACCTTGTAGGCTCGGTTTGTCGTACTTGCTGTTGTCATCTCTCGTAGCTTACTAGTCAGAACATTGGTGCGCAAAGCCAAAGGTCTTAGGTTCGATTCCCGGCGGGGGTGTGACAACAGCAACAATTTTTCCCTCATTAATTTGAGGTAGTTTGTAATGGATGGAAAATTGAAAATGAATTTTCACAATTATATTTCGAAGGGCACCTTATAAGAAACGGGCAATCCCAGATGCCTCACAACGACCTGCCAAAAAATGGCGTAAGAAACGAGTTACTATAAAAACGTAAATTTACTTACAATGACTTGTGAAATGAAAATAATTTTACGTTAGTATTAAATAAATTGCTGGAAAGGGGAATTATTTCGTTTTATTCGATTAAAATTTAATTATCTTGTAAGTTTCTAATTGATTTGTAGGACGAATTTACAGAGCATAACCATCAGAGAAAACTGACGTTGAACTTTTCAATGTTAGTTTAAGTTTCGTATGGTTTCGCTGTGGTGTGGCGGATAACGCCACCGTATTTAATTTAAAAACATATATCTGGCTAAACATTATATTACACCCTTTTGTAAATATTTCAAATACCCGAATTCTTTTGTATATAATTCTTTCTGTCTCTGCGTCTACGTAAATATTTCTACTTGAATTCTTTTGTATATAACATTCTATTATTTTTGTGTAAATATTTCGAGCAGCCTATTCAAATTCTTTTGTAGTCAATTCTATCAATATCAATAACATTAACTACTTGTACTTTCCTGTAATTCCTATTAACATTTCAGCTCCGCCTACTAACCGCATGCCGTCCGTTAGCATTATTTCCTAATTACAATTTTACGATTTTTCTTCTACATTATATTTCTAAGTATTTCTTATCTTCAGAACTTTCCAATATTCTTACTATCCTATTGGTACGCTACTTTTATCCACCAACTACAGTAGAGCCTCTATAACTCGAACATCAAGGGAGACGCCAAAAAATTCGAGTGATAGTTTTCGAATTACGGAGGATTTTGACATAGGATTTTGATTCAACTTGTAGAGGTTAAGATTTATTCTTATTAAGTGTACCTTACATTGTCGGCAAATCCGTAAAGTCGATAAATTAGTTTTCATAGAACTATAGACGTAATAAGTTTCAAATTATCGAGTTGTAAAGGTTGTAAAATAAAACATTGCTATGTTTGAGATACAGAGGTCCAACTTAATTTTTCGAGTTATAGAGGAAAAATATGTACCAAAATGGCTTGCAGGGACTCACTGAAGGAAACAAAATATTTTTTCGAATTATGGAGAATTTCGACTTATCGAGGTTCGACTTAGAGATTCTACTGTATTTCTCATCTTCAGAACTTTCCAATCACCTCACTACCCTATTGGTACCCTACCTACCCTACTTTCATCCACCAACTATTAGTTCCTCCTTCACAATTTTTCTGAAGACTTTTTTTCATAACTTGGACAGTTCTTATCTCGTCTTCCTATATTCTGGTACTGCTTACTACATTTCATCAGTCGTCGATCATCTTTCCTTATTAAGTTTGTAAATATATTGTTGTGTCGTTGTCTTGTTATTTAGTGTTTATGTCTTTGTTACTATACCTCAAAAAACTCTCACAAACTATAAAGTGACCAAACTGGTATTGTTTACAATACAAGGCGAAACGTAGCAAAATACGTTTTAACTTGGTGCGAATTCAGAGTCTTGGATGTAAGCGTAAATAAATCGTCCAAACATGAACGTTGTGATAGACACAATAACGCAAAAGCAATGTCTCCTCATAAGTTCTGACAAATAGAATGTGTCACTTACCTGTAATAAGCCAAAGCTCCCTGAGACAATCCTCCCTGCTTTGCTGTATCTGTTGTACCGGTGCCGTTGATGTTCCTGCGACGGCGTCTAAATCGGACGACAAAGGCGCGCTTCCGCTTTCCAACGTACGAAACAGTATCGCGCCGAAGAAGGCGTAGCCTGTCACCAGGATCAACAAGCCCGTCCGACCGCACACAAAGGACACGATTGCTGCACCGCAACGTCTGTTAACATATTCCGTGCCACGTGTTTCACCGAATCCGCTTTCGTTCGATTGCATCTCTTGTTCTTCTTCCATCTGAAAGAAAAAGCAGAAAATAAGAACGATTATGAAAAGCACACATTTCCTGAAAGGGGAAGTATTAAAGTCTTTAAAGGAAACAATCGATATTGAATGTGAATTGTTCCACAAAATTTTCGTTTATTTTGTTTGATGAATTTTGTCCTACAATACAAAACACAAAAGTTCCTAATTTTTACTGATGTCTTAAGAAGAATGTCAGGCGAAAACAGAAAAAGACAAAGGACACCAAAACTTAATTTCGTTAGATTAGGCTAAGGAACCAATGACCAAAATCGTCATTTTCAGATGTAACGCGTAAGAAGCTGGCAACTGAGTCCAATTGGGTAACAAACACTAAGAATAATTTGTTGCACAATACAGATGTAACACACGTTACTTTAAAAATTTATGAAAAAACCTTTGAACAGAAATACTAACTGCTACTTCTGACCGTGATTAAAATTTCTTTAGTTAGTCACTTAGAAGATATAATGTCCGTCATAAAAGATACCTATTTGGTCGTTTGACGGTATTCGTAGTTTTGCTCGACATAATAAAAGATCAGAGGCGTATAGTGTTCAGTATTTATTTACTACGTACAGCAATATGAATACGTTTGAGAGGTAACTGATCTTTTATTGTGTCGTGCAAAACTACGCATACCGTCAAACGACCAAAGTGGTGATCCCGGCCACACGGACATCCTGGTTCACAAAGTCATGCTGGGGGTCCACAAGGTCTCCCTGGTATACCCCAAGGGCATCATGGACTCCCACAAGAACATTCTGTAAGGCCATAGGAGCATCCTGGTGGTCTACAAGAGCATCTTGCTCCTCAAGGTCATCTCGATGCTCCACCGGGGCACCCGGCTCCTCCGACCGTACATTCTGTAGGATCTCAAATATATACATCCTGGTTGGCCTTAAGGACATGCCAGTGGACTTCAAGTATATCCTGGAGGCCCTCAGAGTGGTGCCCAGAGTCATACAGGTGGTCTTCAGGGTCACCAAGCCATTCTGGTGGTCCTCACAGTCATCCCAAACAGCCAGGTGTTCCACAAAGACATGTAGGTGATCTGTAAGGACACCCTTTTGGTCCTCAAGGTTATTCTGTACCTCAAAATCATCGTGGCGGACCGCAATGTGTGTGAGAGGTAACTGACTGTGTTATCTGTCGTAGCTCTCAAGTCTTACTATTTTTCTTCTCTATTTTACTACATTCCTTGTGTATATACCATTCCTCTATCATATTGCTGCATATAGTAAATAAAGACTGAACTCTATACGCCTCTGATCATTTATTGTGTCGTGCAAAACTGCCCATACCGTCAAACAACCAAACCTATAACCCACCGACCACTACTACCGTGTACCATGTGCTGCCCAAATTTTCTGACAATTCGGATATGTGTCAGCGAGGTAATCCCATTGATAATTGGAGAATTTACTCGACTATTCCAGCGTATTCCTCATGGGTCCATCTTTGAATTTCAACTTGAGCGAGTGCGTTAAGAACTTCTTATGATTCTACTCTCATCTTTTAGCTGTGTTTCCGTAAGTAAATAAAATCACAAGAGGCAAGGTTAGACGAATATGGAGGGTGCAGAATGATTCTAATGTTCAAAGCTAGGAATTCTGAGCAAGGAGAAATGTACAATCGGGGTGTTGTCAAGGACGAACAACTAATTTTTGTTTTTCTACTTGTGTATTATTATACGTTTTTGCGCCGAATGCTCTCTCCTAGTAAAACGATTGTTTGGCCTGGAGATAAAAAGTTCTTGTGAACAAACCCGTGAATGTGAATGTTGATAAGATCTACATCATCGATTTGACTTGGCTGCTCTCATAATCAGTTATCAATTGTTTTGGTACAAATTTTACACAAATGCGTTTCATATTCAATGTGCTCGATGAAACTAGTTCAGCTGTCCCGTACGACTATTCTACTACTTCACAAACATCCTGAGAAAGTTGGTTGCAATTTACAAAGATATCTCACGAACTTCAATTTACTGTCTGGTGAAGTTGTCAGTACGCCATCGTCTGGAACGGTCATTACCGTCGACTGATGTCCGTCTATTGCAGAACCTTTTGTACTACAGAAGCGTTTGTTTTGGCCCATGTCCATGGGTTTCTGCAGCATATGATAGCAGTTGTTTTTTTAAGTTTTAAACAAAATTGATGTATCAGATTCTTTGCTCAGTATAATCTATTATACCGAAATCCATCGAGTCGTTAAAATATAGCAATATGAAGCCTCACAGAAAAGAACAATATAACCTGTCAGCTTTTCAGGCATTAGCATACTGAATTACTAGGTACATCCAATATTCAAAGCTCCATCAACTGAGTTCGGTTTACACGACCTGCCAGCTTGAAGAAGAAGACTACCTAGAGATTGAAAATACACGTGCGGTTGGAGTTGTTAAATTGTACTTTTTATGTTTTATGTTTGGTTGGTCAGTGCGCTTGACTATCAAGTGTTCATGATTAAAACAAAAACTATGCAGATGATGCATCCTTATTGTCTATTTTTGACGTGACAACGTCTTATAATTCGATGGAGCCGGCTGCACACACGAAAAAAAATTACTCATGCGGCGTTACCTCGCTCTGAGGCGTTCCATTTAAGGCTTGAAGTGCAAGCGAGAGTGCAGAACGAGCGACAAAGAGGCACAATCGGTCCCCGCGTTCGGCAGCGTTCGAGATCTGTCTCTCTCCTACTTGAGTGAGCGATGCGTCCGCGTGGACAGCTGCTATACAATAATACATTTCCATTTACCTCCTTCTCTATATCCATACAAAATATCTATCAAACAAATAAAATTAAAATTTTCTTTTGAAAAAT